GAGTGGAGAGGGAGGGACCCGGGCCTGCCCTCTACTCCAGGTCCCAGCCCAGGGGCCCTAGGGATAGCAGTAAACCACTTGAACTAGCGGTTCCTTCCCCTGGGCTACTTCCCTCTCCTGCCCTTCAGCTTGTGGGGCTTCCTACCCTCCCTCTGCACAAACCAGGTGTCCCTTTACCTAGGCTCTTGGTCTTCTTAGCCCACCGCAGCACTTCTCCAAACTCTCCTCTGCTTCCCTCCAAACTGCTCTCTGCTCCAACACCAATCCACTCTGCTTCAACTCCTTCCCTTGTCTGATTGAAGCAGGGGGTTTTTATCAGGTGACTGGCTTCAGGTGCTTTAATTAGTTTATAGCAAACTTTCTTCCCTCTACAGGGAATAAGACTCCCTTCGAACCCTCTCCTGCTGCCCTCTGGCTATGCTGCATCACAGGCTTCTGCCTGTTCGATTTGCCTAGCTTGAGTGGCACTTCCCAACTTTGCTAGATTTATAGTTCTGTCCACCCAGGAGTTCTTTTGTGCAGCAGGTCTGTGTTTATTCCACCTTGGCGTTTGGAACTGCTGCCCTTCCTGCAGCAATGCTGGGCTTGACTCTGGAAGATTAAAAACGTAGATAGCGGAGGAGTGAAAAGAGAGTGGTCCCATGCTATAGCAAACTAGCTAATGAAGACAATCAATCCTCAGGCTTCAGGATATCAGCTGCTGGCCTATGCAGCTCAGGAAGATTATTTCCCCTCTGATTTGCAGCCTTGAGCGATTGGCCATTGTGAGGGTCTTTGCCTTCCGCTCGTTACTCCTAGAGCCAAGATAGATTGGCCACAGGTGTGCTCTGGAGGGAGAATACAGGACTAAATGATCAGTGCATGAGCTGGTGTGACGGAAAGCAGGATACTGGACCTGTGATACAGGGCTAAATCCTCACTTGATGTACATTGTGGGAGGTCTTTAGGGGTCAGCGAAGCTCTGGTAAATTACAGCATCTGAGGCCTGGCCAAAGGGCTAGTATGGCAATTTCCCTGTCGCTCTCAGGGTCAGGCCTTGCATTCCTTCAACCTGCTGCATCGTTAGATTTGTATTCACCACCGAGACGGGAGTAGGCTGAGCCTGGATGTGGGGTGGTAGAGGTCCTGTCCGCAGAGAATAAATCTGAGTTCACGCTCTACATGGGCAGGCACAACAGGTTAATTTAAGAGCTGGGGGGGAAGGACAGTAAGGCGGCAGGGTTAGAGCGGTGCAGTGAGCTAACACACAGGCCTTTCACTTGAGGCCAGCTTCAGAACCTGGGTTAGGGGCTTTGCCAAACTGAGTTCGAGGCTCCCCCCTTTATCGCGCACATCAGAGAATCGTCACCCAGGGCGACAGGATTAAACGCCAGCAGCTGTCTCCAGTAAGAATCATAGAATCATAGAATATCAGGGTTGGAAGGGACCCCTGAAGGTCATCTAGTCCAACCCCCTGCTCGAAGCAGGACCAATTCCCAGTTAAATCATCCCAGCCAGGGCTTTGTCAAGCCTGACCTTAAAAACCTCTAAGGAAGGAGATTCTACCACCTCCCTAGGTAACGCATTCCAGTGTTTCACCACCCTCTTAGTGAAAAAGTTTTTCCTAATATCCAATCTAAACCTCCCCCACTGCAACTTGGGACCATTACTCCTCGTTCTGTCATCTGCTACCATTGAGAACAGTCTAGAGCCATCCTCTTTGGAACCCCCTTTCAGGTAGTTGAAAGCAGCTATCAAATCCCCCCTCATTCTTCTCTTCTGCAGGCTAAACAATCCCAGCTCCCTCAGCCTCTCCTCATAAGTCATGTGATCTAGACCCCTAATCATTTTTGTTGCCCTTCGCTGGACTCTCTCCAATTTATCCACATCCTTCTTGTAGTGTGGGGCCCAAAACTGGACACAGTACTCCAGATGAGGCCTCACCAATGTCGAATAGAGGGGAACGATCACGTCCCTCGATCTGCTCACTATGCCCCTACTTATACATCCCAAAATGCCATTGGCCTTCTTGGCAACAAGGGCACACTGCTGACTCATATCCAGCTTCTCGTCCACTGTCACCCCTAGGTCCTTTTCCGCAGAACTGCTGCCTAGCCATTCGGTCCCTAGTCTGTAGCGGTGCATTGGGTTCTTCCGTCCTAAGTGCAGGACCCTGCACTTATCCTTATTGAACCTCATCAGATTTCTTTTGGCCCAATCCTCCAATTTGTCTAGGTCCTTCTGTATCCTATCCCTCCCCTCCAGCGTATCTACCACTCCTCCCAGTTTAGTATCATCCGCAAATTTGCTGAGAGTGCAATCCACACCATCCTCCAGATCATTTATGAAGATATTGAACAAAACCAGCCCCAGGACCGACCCTTGGGGCACTCCACTTGATACCGGCTGCCAACTAGACATGGAGCCATTGATCACTACCCGTTGAGCCCGACAATCTAGCCAGCTTTCTACCCACCTTATAGTGCATTCATCCAGCCCATACTTCCTTAACTTGCTGACAAGAATACTGTGGGAGACCGTGTCAAAAGCTTTGCTAAAGTCAAGAAACAATACATCCACTGCTTTCCCTTCATCCACAGAACCAGTAATCTCATCATAGAAGGTGATTAGATTAGTCAGGCATGACCTTCCCTTGGTGAATCCATGCTGGCTGTTCCTGATCACTTTCCTCTCATGCAAGTGCTTCAGGATTGATTCTTTGAGGACCTGCTCCATGATTTTTCCAGGGACTGAGGTGAGGCTGAGTGGCCTGTAGTTCCCAGGATCCTCCTTCTTCCCTTTTTTAAAGATTGGCACTACTACTCAGAAGTTCTGGGCTGAGCTGCTCAGGCTCGAGGCAGTGGCTGGTGGAAGGATGGTGCCCTGAGGGCTGAGATATATTGGCAGAACTGCTGGGGAGCAGAGGGGAGGAGCTCAAATATAGAATCGTCGGAGTGGAAGGGACCTCGAGAGGTCATCTAGTCCAGTCCCCTGCACTCATGGCAGGACTAAGTATTATCTAGGGCAGTGGTTCCCAAACTTGTTCTGCCGCTTGCACAGGGAAAGCCCCTGGAGGGCCGGGCCGGCTTGTTCACCTGCCACGTCCGCAGGTTCGGCCGATCGCGGCTCCCAGTGGCCGGGGTTCGCTGCTCCAGGCCAACGGGAGCCGCTGGAAGCGGCGTGGGCCGAGGGACGTACTGGCCGCCGCTTTCAGCAGCTCCCATTGGCCTGGAGCAGCGAACCCCAGCCACTGGGAGCCGCGATCGGCCGAATCTGCGGACGCGGCAGGTAAACAAGCCGGCCCGGCCCGCCAGGGGCTTTCCCTATACAAGTACTGGAACAAGTTTGGGAACCACTGATCTAGACCATCCCTGACAGGTGTTTGTCTGACCTGCTCTTAAAAATCTCCAATGACAGAGATTCCACAACCTCCCATGGCAATTTGTTCCAGTTCTTAACGATCCTGACAGATAGGAAGTTTTTCCTAATGTCCGACCTAGATCTCCCTTGCTGCGATTTAAGCCCATTGCTTCCTATCCTGTCCTCATTGAATAAGGAGAACAATTGCTCTTCCTCCTCTTTGTAACAAACTTATGTACTTGAAGACTGTTATCATGTTCCCAATCTGTCTTGTCTTCTCCAGATAAACAAACCCAATTTTTTTCAATTTTCCCTTATGTTTTCTAGACCTTTAATCATGTTTGTTGCTCTTCTCTGGATTTTCTCCAATTTCTCCACATCTTTCCTGAAGTGGGGTGTCCAGAATGGGGGACACTACTCCAGTTGAGGCCTTATCAATGCTGAGTAGAGCAGAAGAATTACTACTTCTGTCTTAATTACAACACTCCTGCTAATACATCCCAGAATGGTGTTAGCTGTTTTTGGAATAGTATTACCTTGTTGATCCATATTTAGTTTGTGATTAACTATAGCCCCCAACTCCTTTTCTGCAGTACTCCTTCCTAGGCAGTCATTTCCCATTTTGTAGGTGTGCAAACTGATTGTTCCTTCCTAAGTATAGTATTTTGCATTTGTCTTTGTTGAATTTCGCCCTATTTAATTCAGACTATTTCTCCAGTTTATCAAAATAATTTTGAATTCTTATCCTGTCCTCCACAGTGCTTGCAACCCCTCCCAGCTTATCATCGGCAAACTTTAGGAGTGTACTGTATGCCATTATCCAAGTCATTTATAAAGCTTGTGTAGACCCTGACCCAGGACAGATCCCTGTGGGACCCCACTTGATATACCCTTCCAGCTTGACCTGTGATCCATTGATAACTACTTTCTGAGTACAATTTTCTAAGCAAGTGTGCACCCACCTTGTAGTAGGTTTGTCTAGGACTCTAGGCTATATTTCCCTAGCTTGCTTATGAGAAGGTCATGTGAGACATTATCAACAGCCTTACTAAAGTCCAGATATATCTACCACTTTCCTCCTACCCACAAGTCTTGTTACCCTGTCAAAGAAGAATACTAGATTGGTTTGACATGATTTGTTCTTGACAAATCCATGTTGATGTATCACCTTATTATCTTTAGTTGTTTACAATTTTTTGTTTTATTATTTGCTCCATTATCTTTCTGGGTACCAAAGTTAAGCTAGGTAGTCTGTAATTCCCTGGGTTGTCCTTATTCTCCTCTTTTATAGATAGGTACTATATTTGCCCCTTTCCAGTCTTCGGGGATCTCTCCCACCCTCCACGAATTCTCAGGAGATCATGATTGAGGTGCACTGGCAGAGCTGGGAATGGGAAACCCAGGACTAGAACATCAAAGGATTTGTTGCAAGTCTGGACTGATGTTTGTGAGATGTGGTGGAAATTAGCACAGTGCCTGTCTGCTCTGTCCCTATTCACTGTTCTTACGTTGCGAAGGATTTAATACATTCACCAGTCCTGTCTATCTGCTTCCAGGTGTTGACTTTCAGGCTGTAGCTTGTCTCATCCGCTTGAAACGCACAAGAACCTTTACCAAAGAAAGCAGCTCACGCCAGACAGAGCCAGAGACACTGCAGAGTCCTGCTTAGCTTGCAAAACTGTATTATTATTTGAATCCATCATTTACAGTATTGTACAGCTTGTTTCAAATATGAAAATAATCTGGCAGGGCAAAACTAGATATGCACTCATCAAAGCATCTCTTTCCTCATATGTACAGTACGGATGTTTTTATTTCAATGGATTGATTTTTAATCTGTGCACATTCAAAGTCAGAATAAGAACATGAAATCATTTCCTAATAGCAAACTGCTTAATAATAATAATAATTAGTAACAACATAATAAGTGATCATTGTAACTGTATCTAAGTGAAACACATGCCAGTGGGATCTTGAAGCTAACTTGGGTCTCCTTGGGGATCTATCTGCAAGTTACATCCCCACCCTCCACTCCCTCCCTCACCTTACTGGCCTTTCTTGTAGGCATTTTTGATTATGGCATTCTTAAAAAGAGTCATTAAAGGGGTCTGGCTGTTCTCCGATGTCATGAAGCCCCCGTATCGCTTGTCTTTGGGCGGGGTGTTCCATCGGAAATGGTGCATCTTGTAGGACTCTCCATCTTTCTTCTCTTCCTCCTCTGAGACCATCTCTTCCTCACTCGCTGGGCTTTCCAGGGACTCGAACTCGGGGTAGTCCAGTTCCATAGAAAGGTCTCTTCTGAACTCCAGTGGGTAGCTCTCAGCGGACTCCTCTTCCACCCCATTGGGATAGACCTTGATGGGTCTCCTCTTCCTGCCTACTGGCTTTCCCCATCGGAAATGCTCCATTGAGTAGGATCGTTTGCTGTCTTGCCTTTCGAGGGCAGCTCTTTCTTCTTCTTTGTCTTCTTTTTGAGCTGGGGAAGCATCAGGGAAGAAGCCAAAGAGTAGATTGCTGGGGATCTCTTCTCGCTTGTGGCCAGTGACGCTGCTGCTGTTCTTCCTGCCGAACTTGTTCCAGCGGAAGTGGCTCATGACATACTTCCGGATGTTCTCAGACAGAGGCTGCAGGTGGCCGTTACCTGGGTACACAGGTGACTCAGCAGACAGGTCCAGTTTGCAGGCTTTGATGCATGCCTGGGTGAGGAGAAAGGAAATGCTTCAACTAGACACACATTTGCTATGTGGGGCTCATGTCATGTAATGTCCAGGCATGGAGCTGACCTATGGGCCTTTCTATTTCTCTCTGTGAGTAACTGTACCTAGAAGTGCCTTCAGAGTCTTCCAGCAGCACAGCTGTTTATTAATAGCACTAATACTCTGCAAGCCCATCTCAGGGTCTAAAGCACTCTACAAACAGTGAGCCGGGTCCTCCGCTGCTCTGAATTGCTATTGCTCCGCTGAAGCCAATGGAACTATGCTGATTTACACCAGCTGAGGATCTGGCCATTCAGTCTCCCCTTGTGAGGCAGGTGTGTGCAATTATTTTCATTTTACAGAAGGGGAAACGGGGGCCCAGAGAGGGGCGGTGACTTGCCCAAGATCACACAGGGAGTCCTTAGCAGAGCTGGGCATAGAAGCCATGTCTTTTAACTCCGAGTCCGAAGTGCTAACTGCCCAGCCGTGTATTGAGTGGTATAAAGCAGACCCCTGAAGGGGAGCGAGCTGGGCAGGTTGCTCGCATTGGCCAGGGAAAGAAACTCCCAAGCCCGCTCCTTTTTCCCTGACTCCGCTTGTTTGCTCCGTTACTTGCAACCAAGACCTCCCCAGAGGCCAGAGCATCTTATAACCATTGTGCCACTTCCTGTAGCAGGGGAACAGGGCTGGCCTTACCATGAGGCGAACTCAGGCGGCCGCCTCCGGCGCTAGACTGTAGGGGGCGCCGCTAGGACTCAGCGTTTCAAAGTTTTGGCCCACGTGAGGGGGCGTCATTTGAGCTCCCTGCCTCAGGTGCCAAAATGTTGTGGGCCGACCCTGCGGGGGAACCCTTGCAAAGGGTTAGCTGAGGAGGGGCTGGGGCTGAGGAACCTGTGGTCTTAAATAGGCTGCTGCAGCATCCTCCCTGCTTCGTGTAACAGGAGGTTCTTCTAGGGCCGCCAGTCAGCCGTGACCCAGCGTCTGTCCGGAGTCACGTGCACAATTCCCGCTGCTGGCAGCAGGAGATGGCAGGCGTATGTGGGAGGGCTGGGGTTGGCCCTGTGGTTCTGTTATGTAAAGATCGATGCAGATTTTAACTATAAACTGTTGTCTTCAGGAGTTCATAACCCAGGAATTGCTTACGGCGCGGACGGCACCACAGCACCAGATGGTGCAGAGCCTGGTGAGTCCTGTGACCAGGGCGGCAACAGAGCCCAGGGAATCCGACTGTGTATCATGGCTCTGGCAGAGGGCCCAGGGGCCTCTCGCTGAACTGTGGAGCTGGAGGTTGTGGCTGGGATAAGGCATCGTGGGCAAAGCGCAAGCAACCCACAAGCCCCGAGGCGAAGAACATGCCAGGGACTACAATACAGTCAAGGCAGCATCACAGATCGGCTGGGTCCGTCGTGGGAGGGATACCGACAGAGATTTAGGGCTGCGAATTGGACAGAGGGAATAAGGCCCAGAGCTTCCACACGCAGACTGGCTGACTAGGCTACCGGGCCGAGGCTGGAAAGCCAGGGGCTGGAGGAAAGGATGGATACGGTGGTTTTAGAGCAGCGTTCGCAGTCTCTTCAAGGTGGCAGGCGTCTGTGGGTGCTGGCATTGACCCTCGACTTTGGACAGTGCTGTGATGCTCGCCGAAGAGTTCTTAGAGGCTGACTTACCAGGAGAACAGTCTGTCCCCTGAGGGGACAGGAGATGGGGAAGGAAAGTGTCAATGCCCAGGCAGGAAGAATCTAAGGGGTCCTCCTCTGCTAGCGGGGGAGACAGTTTGTTACTGGTGCGGGCACTCAGGACATATAAAGAGACTGTCAGCGTATGGACTGCGGGTTTGCAGAATTCTGCGGGTGGACTGGGGTGCCCAGGAGAAAACGAGTGTCTACCCATAGGGTCAAAGTCGTCAGGAAGCGGGTGAAGGGGTTAATGGACTCGGCAGCCAGAGTGTTTGCTTGTTCGGGTAGATCGGGTGAAACCCCACTGGATGCTGCCTGGGAGGGGATTGAAACTGGAATGCATACGTGGGGAAAGGAAACGCTGCCTTTTAGTGAAAATCCTCTTTGAGGTCAAGGGAAGGTTTAAATAGAAACAGGTGGGGATGGTGAAGGCTTTGCCCCATCCAGTCGTTTTGGGACTGGAAACCCTTTGCCTTGATGGAAGGAGGAAACTCCCGGAGAGCACAGAGTTGGTTATGGGGTGTGAAACACAAGACTGAAGAAGGGGGAGATCAAAAAGAAAGAGAAGAACCTAGCTAGGAAGACACAAGCCAGGAAGAGGAAAAAGAGCCTGGAGCAGAGAGAGAGCTGGTAGAGAAGGAAGAGGAAATGGAGGTGAACAGAGGCTGGTGACCGAGCCCTATGTGGGTTTACCTGCTGAAGAAGGGGTCCCCCAGGCAGCCCCAGGAGCAGACCAGCAGGAGAAAGAGCCTTTAGCCAAACGGGGTCCAGAACAAAATGTCATGGCGGGTGAAAGGAGAACCGAACCAGTGGAGCTGCGACGGAGTACAGAGGAAGGTCAGCCAAGAGACAGTCCTACCAAACGCCCTTGGTATGAGGATGGAGGGGCGGAGACGGCCTCCGCCCACAGATTGTTCTTTCTGGGGGTGGAAAGCAGAGAACACCCTTTGAGGGGCTGCAAAGAGCTCGGCCCAAGAGACCATGGAGCATCAGGGAAAAGAGAGGGAGGTGTGTTGAATCAGTAGCTAACTGCAGGCTCTGTCGCTCTAATACCCACCAGAATGTATTAACTGGACCTAACTGGAAGGCAGGCCGTTAGCAGAAGGTGTCCATTAACTGAGCAGAGCTGCAGCTGAAGGGCTAATTGAAGGGGCAGCAGCCTCAGCAGGTGGGACTATGCAGCTGGACAAGTAGGAAGTGCTGGAGAGGTGGGCGCCTGAAGGAAGACAGAGGTAGGCAGGATGCACGGCTGCTAGGACTGGAAGCACGTGGGAAGCTGGCTGGGGACTGTAGATATACGTAAATAAGGCTATAGGCTGCAGCCTGCTGGAAGAATACAATAGAACGTGGTGGTGGTGAAGGAGACCTGGAGTGCTTGTGGTCCGTGATTAAGGCCTGAAAGGACTCTCAGGGGACAGCCCCACAGCCAGCAACTGTTGCAAAAATGGTATCGGTTACCGAGAGGTCGAATCCCGATGACCTCGCTCAGGTCATTGACTTCAGCTAGCCGTGTCCTGCACCTAGTGAATTCACTGGGAGCTGTGACTGCTCAGCACCTCTGTACGTCAGGCCGTGTGTGCTCAGGTGCCAAGCTAAAGCAGGCGTAGGCCCCCAGCTTTTGGCACCCTGGTGTGACAGTGTTGGTGTAAATGACTAGCCCAAGGCCAAAGAGGGGGTCAGCACCAGAGCTGGGGTTAAACCCCCTCCTGGCTTCCTCGCCCACGCTGCCATTAGTTGGGGGTCCAGCTCCTTTCTTACCAGCTTTTGGCAAAGGGGGCAAACCTTCAAATGGCTGAACCGGAAGAAGTGTCCCCTTTGCCTGCTCAGTAGACATCCCCTTGCAAGTCCAGTGCCAGGTAACTAACCCTTCCTCCATGGGGGTCGAGGGGGAGGGGAGAAATGAAATCCTGCCCTTCCGGCAGATGGAGTCTGTCTCTTCCATCTCTAGCTGCGATGTGCGCACTCCTTTACCAATGGGCCGTCTGCAGCTTAAAAACCTAAAAGCTGGCTAGTGAGGGAGAGCGTCTAACCTGGTGGTAGGCAGACAGCGAAGGCTGTCTTGTCGCCCTATATGCGCAATGCAGAGTGCAGGGGAGCAGGCAGGGGGTGGAAAACTCCCCTGCAATCTTTGCAAACCCCCTAACTGCAGCAGGAGACCTCGTGTCATTGCGATTGCTCTGACGGGGCCTGCTCCTCTCAGCTGTTGGGAATCTGCATTGCTCGATTGCCTTCCCTGGAGCTATGCCCACTTATACCAGCTGGCGACCTGGCTTAAAGGGTAGCTGGACATATTGCTCTGAGCAGCCGTGCAGCAGTTCTATGGCATACCGAGGGCCATGGCTGCCTCTGAGCAACCCCAGGGACTGAGACTGGACCCGTGTCCTCCCACGGCCCGCATCGGTGCAGCCACCAAGAACTATACAAGCTTCCATGACTCTGCATCCACTGCACCTCTGCAGGGTAAGGGAACAGAATCACCTGCATTTTACCACTGGGCAACTGAAACCCCTGGCTATTGAAGTGAACTGCCCAAGGTCTGTGACTGATCTGGGAATCTCCCAACTCCCAGTCCTGCACCTTCGCTGAAGATGCTCCTTCCTGCATTGTTGGGAACAGTGCTTGGGAGTGGGGGAGCTGTCTTACCGGGGCTTTCCCAGAGCTGATTTCCGATTTGCTTCCAGAAAGAGATGTCAAGGAGTTGTTTGGGTTTTTTTAATGTATTTAATTCTGAGCGTGGCTCAGATGTTAGGAATGGGAAATGTGTATTGTGCCTCCATCCACCCAGTTTAGTGCAGGACAGAGCCCCAGTCCCATTTTAGAGCCCCGACGTTCCCCCTGAGCGCCCAGGGCCGGAGCCACTCACCAAAAGGCCGACTTCCGTGCTGAGGTCCCTGCACCTGCTGCTCTGCGAGCACTGGCTGTTCACGCCGCCGGCCGCGTGAAAGAGCAGCACGCCCAGAATCGCCAGCAGGCCGCTCCGTACGGGTTTCAGCATCTTCGGGATGGAGCTCGGACTCCTGAGGAAACAGAAGGGGTGGGGGTGATGCCAAGTGTAATCGCCGCGATGTTTGTCAGCCGTGCCGGCAGCTGTTAGCCGGCACCTCGGCAGCCAGGTGAGTCCAGCGCGGTTGCACAAGACGGCCAGAAAGAGAGGGTTATGCACAATGAGCTTGCCAAACAGGTCCAGTCAAATGTAGCTCCTGCACTGGGAGCGGGGGCGTCTCCTGAGAAGACATTTGTATCTGTTAGATCTGGACCCAACTCCCAGATGAAAGCCGCCCGACGGTGTGGGGATGGAGGCTTTCAGAATTTGGACCTGGGCCTGGGTTTGAATTTCCAAGTTTCGCTCCTGTCTCTCTCTGTTCGGCCTAGCCAGAATCACAGACATGACCCTCGACGTCCAGGGGAGGGGCTGGCATTCAAACCCAGAGCTGGAGTTAAATTCCACATAATTTCTCTCTAATGCAGTGGTCCCCAAACTTTTTACCTCACGCCCCCTTCCTGGAGCCGGGAGTGGGGCTGCAGCTGAGGGTGGGGCTGGGTGGTGCTTCTTCCCTGCCTCCTCTGGGGGCTGGCCCAGGCCCCAGCCGCACCATCCCCCCCAAACGGTCTTCCAGGCCCCCCAAGGGGGGGGCATGAGCCCCACAGTTTGGAGACCTCTGCGCTAATCAGTCCAATTGCCGATCTGACTATCGGCCGACTTTGGAAGGATGGGAGTTGGGTTTCCAGCCCTGCTATAGAGCTTAGGGCCGCAGAAGGATGCTGGAGCTGAGTCCTAGCCCTGCACAGCCATGGGATGTGCCCAGATGCCACAATGACAGGCATGGCATAAACACCGGGATGGATGGGCAGTGAGCCCCAGCACAACTCTCAGGTAGGGCAGGGGCTTACAGTAGCTGAGTTCCAGCTCAGCAGGCAGGGATCCCATCCCAGTGCACTGCTGTGAGGGATGCTATTCTGAATAGTACCCTGAAACTTTGAAGGTTTATGAGGTCACGAGTCGTTGCTCAGACTCACTACAGGCAACGTCTGTTTGTAATAGAAAGTTTTGATTGGGCGGGTATGTAGATAATGTAAAAAGCCCTGGTTCCATCCAGGGAATTTTTAAATGCTCCTTTTGATACATTTCCCCCACCCCGTTCCCTTTATCTCTTAAAAGTCATGTAAAAATAATTGGGGTGAAATAAGGTATTCCTTTGGGGTTTACTGGTTTCACTGCCTCTGGGGCTTGGATCAGTTACAAAGCAGGCTGAGTCCTCAGCTGGGGTAAATTACCATTGCCTCACTGAAGCCATGTTGCGTTGTACAAATACCCCGGTGGGGACTTCAATAGAGAGATGCCGGTTGACACCTGCTGAAGATCTGGTCCTGTATTTTTAGGTAGTATCCGTCGTAAGGGAGGTTAATCACAGACACCGGGTCTGGAGAAACTTCTCTTCTGCAGAGAGCAGCTTTTATAGGTAGGTGAAATGAGTTTAGCTCATTCTCTGTGCTCTGGGTCAGACTGCCTTAGTTCGGTGACAGATGCAGTTCCCCTCCTGTCATTTCTGCAGAACCATTGTAGCTAACTGAGAAGCAGGCTCCATTCTAATCTAATCAGCATAATTGCTAACTGCAGCCCTGGCCTTGTAAAAGTCCTGCACAAAAGCAATGTGCATTCTTAAAGGACAACAGTTATCTCCCCCTGCAGGGCAGGCAGCATATTAGAAGGTTAGCGCCATCCATTCTGATTCCAGTATCTTTACCAATGGCAATGGTGTCGGAAGCAGAGAGAACACAACTTGGGTTTCGGGTGCACTGGAAGTGCCAGCCAGTCGGAAAATCTTGGGATGTGAAAGTTAGAGGGTAAATTTGGAGCTAGACTCCGGTTTCTTGCCCTAAGAAGCACGTGCAGTGCATAGGAAATCACCCTCATTCTCTGTGCCTGGAGTTCTCGCTTCGTTGTATAACACCAAGTTATAGCCGTTACTTGAACATTATTGCTGACGGCATTAGCAATGCTTGCTGGGCCTGTCTCTCATACTTTCATCGGAGGGACTAAAAGCCTGTTGCAGCTACTGATGCATTCAGCCTCACATATGCCTCTGAGTTATGCAAATATCCCCCTCACAGTTCTGCAGAAAGGGGAACGTGTACAGAAGGAATGTGTCCAAAGTCACTCAGGGAGTGTTCCGGAGACTCAGAAATAGAACGGAGGAGGCTGGACTCCCAGTCCCTTGCACTAACCACTAGGTAACTCTCTTTATTAACAGATTAGAGATTCAGAATCTGCAATTATATCCACAGCCACATACAGATCACACTATCCCCAGTCAAAATGCAGCTTGGCTTTTGTTCTGTTGAATACAAGACAATATGATTATCCAATGTTATCTCTTTCATTCCTGATTAAAAAGCTTCTCTCTCGGGAAGGAACCCAGCTCCTTGAATTTGATTCTATGTGGAGGGAAAAAGCGAGACTTTCTTGGATGGCGTTTGCTACCTAAAGGTCCATCTAAGGATAGATAAATGCAAGTAGGGTTGCTAATTGAAAAATATTAGCAATGCATTCTTCAGAACGTAAGCCCCTCTGATTGACTCACTGCTACAGCTTACAGTGAACCGAGCTGCCTTGTATAGAAATTTCTTATTGTTGTTCCCATTCTCCTAACCTCTCTCTGCTTAGACTTAGATGGCAAGGCTCTTGAACAGGGACTGTCCTTGCAGCGCATATGACAGAGTGGTTGCTTCTGTAAATAATAGATGAAGATTTAGTCATCAGATGCTTGTAGACAGCACTTGGAAGTTGCAGTGGGGGGTCAGAAGCTGATGTGCTTTGAAAATGCCACTCTAAATCTTGGTGAAGAACACAGCTGGAACACCTCTTGGGGGTGTAGAACAACGGTGTGCAAACTTTCCAGTTGTGCCCCCCTTTCCATTCCCGGAATTTGTCATCCCACCCCACTCCATTACTTGTAGTCTGAGGTAATCCCCTACTTCTGTGCTACTGCCGGCCATGGGGCTGCCTTCAGAGCTGGGCAGCCAGAGAGCGGCATCTGCTGGCCAGGGCCCTGCCACCCTGACTTCTGCGCTGCTGCTGGCAGCGGCGCTGCCTTCAGAGCTGGGTGACTGGAGAGCAGTGCCTGCTGGCTGGGCCGTTCATATTCTTTGTGGCACAAAAGGGCTATTTTTTTAACCCCATGTCCCTCCTGCCCTGCAACACCCACTCAATTTTGAGACCGCTCCCGCTATTATGGCAGCAAGTCCTGTGGGATCCCAGTGTCTTCACCCCCCGCCCCCCTCCCCAAGAACCTCTTGCCCCCACCCCCGGGGTGTGCGCCCCCAGCTTGTGCCCCACTGGTGGAGAAGGTAGATTTCAGGACCTGGGCTAGCTCTTAGTGCTATAAAAGGCTGAGGAAAAGAACCGTAATTAGCATTCCTCACCCAGGGAGAACTTCAGCTGAGGTCAATGGGATTTGAAGGAGGACTGCATTAGAGCCAGTCTTTTCTTAGAAACGTGCTTTTTGACAAAAAAAAAAGGGGGCCTTTGACTAAATGGACATTTTTGTGAGAAAACCTTTGTGTGTGTTGAGGTTTCTCAGGTGGTGTTAAAAACAAAATAAAAAATGGCCGCAAACCGAACCAGGCACTCACACGTTTCTTTGTTCTACAACCGCAGCCTGAAGTTTGTTGGTTTTCAGTTGAAAGTTCAGAAATATTTGGGGAGGGGTTGGGTTTGTTTTTTTTTTGATTAAACCCTGAAAAATGCCACAAAAATCTGTGGTAAAAATGAAAAAGGTTTGGGTTGTTTTTCTAACTATTTTCATGGAAAATAAGATACTCTTTTCCACCTGCTCTTCTTACCACTGTATGGGATTGGGCCCGTTGACTTTCCCTTACACCATGACTGGTCTCATTGAAGTCAATGGACAAAAGTTCTATTTCATGTGAGTGAGGCCAGGTCTACACAAGGACCTTTTACCAATACCGTATCCCAGCAAAGCCCTCCTAGAATGGATGCAGCTATACCAGCAAGCTGTGCTTCGTGCTGGTAGAGTAAAACCACCTCTGTGATAGAAACTTGCCCTGACACCACCCCGGGTGAGCAAAAGAGCTTTTTTGCTGGTACTGCTATGTCGACACTGCCAGTTTTGCCAGCAAAACTCTGTCTATCGGGGTCATACCTCTTCATGCCCCTGTCCGACATAGGCTATGTCTACCCTACAATCTTAAGTTGGCCTGTGTTAGGTTGGCTTACAGCCACCACATTAATTACTGCGGTGGCCGATGTCCACACTACCCTCCTTCTTTCGGTGGTACACGTCCTCACCAGGAGTGCTTCTACTGACTGAAGAGGCCAGGGCTCTCAGCCCCACGCAGCTCCCCACCGGGAGTCCAGCTGCCCCCTGGAATTTCTCACCTCCCCGCCAAGAGTGGGGGAAAGCTGCCTGCAGCTTCTCACCTCTGGTGGGGAGATCCACACGCGGAGTCCGGTTGGCTGCTGTGCTCCCAGTGGGGAACAGGGAATTGGGACCCCAGAGGCAGCAGGGCTTCTAGCAGGGAGTGGGGAGCCTCAGCAGCAGCTCAAGCCAGGAGCCTGGGTGGCAGCCTGGATTGGAGTGGAGACCCAGCAGCAGCCTAGCTGGGGAGCTGAGCTGTGAAACTGATGAGAATGACAACCAACAGCTGATATAAGGAACCCAGTGTCTACACAGACATTGCGTCACCCTAACTACACCAACATAAGCCCTACATCTCTCGTTGAGGTGGTTTTATGATGTCAATATAGCCGGGGAGTTACATCAGCAGGAGGAAAGGAGTACTTGTGGCACCTTAGAGACTAACAAATTTATTTGAGCATAAGCTTTCGTGAGCTACAGCTCACGAAAGCTTATGCTCAAATAAATTTTTTAGTCTCTAAGGTGCCACAAGTCCTCCTTTTCTTTTTGCCAATACAGACTAACACGGCTGCTACTCTGAAACCTGTCATCAGCAGGAGGAGCATTTCAGTGTGCACACCTCCAGTTTTGTGGACTAAAGCTGACTTCTGTCGACAAAATTGTGTAGTGTAGACAAGGCCATAGTTGTGCTGCCAGAAGTCTGTAGCGTCGACCTGGTCTAAAGTTCTCTCGCTCTGGCCCTGGTGGTTTTCCCTGAAGGCAGGGATTTGGTATGATTGTTTCCTTAACTTGACTGAACAAACATCACTGCTGTTATCATCAACACTGTTAACAGATTCCTCTTGGTTAATACACCACAAGACAGTAGTTTGCTGGGGAGCAGATTTGCAGCTAGGACACAGGGAAGCTTTTAATAACACAGGTTATAAAAGAGAACAGATCAAACCCAAAATAAAAAAATGTCCTCTCCTGATCTTTTGTCAGTGTGCAACCACCAGTAACTTTTGACATTATTAAGGAGGGTGAGAAAGTACAAAAGGGCTTGGAGCTGTGGACAGAGACAGAGAGGGGTTTTGTAATATATTTGGAAAACAGAACAATCCACAGCAAAATAGAGGAACAACAGAAAAATAAAGGCTCTAGGTAAGAATTTATTAAATATTTAGGTCCAAGGAAGAATGGGGAGAGGGGCTTAGTTGGTAGGGGGTTTTTTGGGGGGGGGAAAGGGGAGTGTTGTGTTTACTGGCTTCCCCTTGCAGTTAAATCACTGACCATGAGTAATTTATCTTAGCATGCAAATGAATTGTAACATAGCTCTAATATTAACTATTTCCCCTTAGAGCAAAGTGGGCTTAGCAGTCAAGTGTCATTCCTTCAAGACTCACATAACAATTGGGATAATCAATCTTGAGTTGATCCCATTCTGAAATATGCCATCGAAAGACCAAGGCTAGTGGGAATACTGGGGTTTGTCCTCTGAGAGCTTTATAGCTCCCTGGAATGGCTAATTCCTTTAAATCACACCTGATCTGAAATATTTCTGCTGGGTTACAGCTAAAAGACAACAGCTTGTTCTTTATCTATGCGAGGAACAAAGGCATAAGACACTGCCCCTGTGTTCCTGTCTTAACGGGAGTGGAGAAAAGATCAGAGCAGAAGGAATAAAGAGGAAGAGCCGGAGTCGTTCCGACTTACCTGTTGCTGTGGAGTGTGATCTTGGCTTTTCAGTCTGATGCCTCGCTCTCGGTCTCTGAGTGACTGTAGCTCCCAGCTCCAGTCCTGGCTCTTTTTATACCACAGGCTGGGCTTTGTGCAGGGCGTTTCATCCAAGACAACCTTCCGGACAGACCTTTTGAAGCAACAGGAAAAGGGCTGGGGAGAAGGGGGCGTGTGGGGTGGGGATATGGGCAAAGAAGCCAGTGATGAGGGAATGTTCCAGGTGTGGAACAGAACAAAAGATTAGCAAACAGTGTCTGGAAGACGAACGTTTGCTGGATCTAGCCCCATGGTAAATGGGGAGAGATTAGCATCTCCCTGTGAGCCGGAACTCCGGGTGGAGCATGGTAAAGTTTTCCAGTCATGCTTGCTAATTGCATTTCCAGAGCGGAGATAGCAGGCTTTAATTAAAAATCAAACACCCCTTTAGAGCAGGTATTAGTGAGCAATAAAGGTATCACTTCTGGATCCTGGTGCTGTTTATCACATGCACGTTGGCGGGGTCGTTAGTCACTGTTCAGTCTCAGATGCTGGACGCCATGGGTCTTTGCAGATTCTTGTTTGTCTTGAGCAGAAAAAAATATTGTTCTCCTGCATTTTAAAAAGTGAATATTGTGCTGGTGAAAGGTGGCAGGTCGACAGCTCTGGGCCGCATGGAACAGGTCCAGCATGGACAGTGGCAATGCAAGCTCCCCCATGTTATCTTGCTAAGGTGCATCAACCCTATCTGGAGGCCAGAGGAGAAAATCCATCTCCATGGCCCAGTCAATCCTTGGCCCCTCTGCTGAGATTGTCAGCCAGGAGACCAGCTGCAGCCAACTGTAGGTTTGAGGTGTGGACACTGGGAGGTGGACTGGGACTCACCAGACTCAAGATACTCTAATAGGGTTGGCCTTGGATACTGGATATTTAAAATACGTTCCTGTTGGTATTGTGGTAGCATCTAGGAATCTTCATCAAGGAGCAAGGCCTGTTATCATAGAATCATAGAATATTAGGGTTGGAAGAGACCTCAGGAGGTCATCTAGTTAAACCCCCTGCTCAAAGCAGGACCAACCCCAACTAAATCATCCCAGCCAGGGCTTTGTCAAGCTGGGCCTTAAAAACTTCTTAGGATGGAGATTCCAGCACCTTCCTAGGTAACCCATTCCAGTGCTTCACTACCCTCCTAGTGAAATAATTTTTCCTAATATCCAAGCTAGACCTCTCCCATGGCAACTTGAGACCATTGCTTCTTGTTCTGTTATGGCCAAGCAAAGAAGACAGTCCTTCCCCCACGGTGCTTACAGTCATGTCAGGGCTCAAGAGGTGGGCAAACCAGACAAAGGAGGTGGGATCTATTGGAACTCAATCGAGAAATCTCAGCTTGCATCAACTTCCTTTATGCCCAATGCCTTGTGAGGTAGTGTGATTCTGAGGTGACCTTTCACCTTTAAATCTCCCCCACTGCAACTTGAGACCATTACTCCTCGTTCTGTCATCTGCTACCACTGAGAACAGTCTAGATCCATCCTCTTTGGAACCCCCTTTCAGGTAGTTGAAAGCAGCTATCAAATCCCCCCTCATTCTTCTCTTCTGCAGGCTAAACATCCCCAGTTCCCTCAGCCTCTCCTCATAACTCATGTGTTCCAGTCCCCTAATCCTTGTTGTTGCCCTCCGCTGGACTCTTTCCAATTTTTGCACATCCTTCTTGTAGTGTGGGACCCAAAACTGGACACAGTACTCCAGATGAGGCCTCACCAATGTCGAATAGAGGGGAACGATCACGTCCCTCGATCTGCTGGCAATGCCCCTATTTATACATCCCAAAATGCCATTGGCCTTCTTGGCAACAAGGGCACACTGCTGACTCATATCCAGCTTCTTGTCCACTGTAACCCCTAGGTCCTTTTCTGCAGAACTGCTGCCGAGCCATTCGGTCCCTAGTCTGTAGCAGTGCATCTGCGACTGATCCACAGAGGGAAAGAAATTTGAAGAAAAAAAATCATCACATAAATCTGAATATTTAATAAATTGAGGGACACTCTGATTGCTCGAGGGACATTCAACAAACAGAAAACAAGGCAAAATTTGATGATTAAATTCTGCCTAGTGCATTATTTGCATTGCTCTAATATACTATCCTGAGCTCTTTCTTCTTTCTTCTTACTTCATTGACTGTGCTGGAAATTTGCCTTAGGGACAGACTCTTACGTGTCCTGCACCCCTTTACTCCCTCTGCTGGCTACCTGCATTGCTGCCTTGGTTTTCTCTGAGTGTGCTTCTCGGATTGCTCCTGAGGCGGCTTCATGGTGCTCTGCTCTGTACTGGGGCTCATGGCAAAGCCATCGCTGATCGCCCAGCAATAACCGTGTAAGGCCCTCTGGGTGAAAACCACTGTCCAAAACATCAGTTGTTCTCACGATTGTCTCCTGCTCCAGTTTTACCTGCTTTAATTTTAGCTCAGTGCATTCCATCAGCTGACCCTCTCCTTTTAAAATCAAGAAGGCCTGCTCGGAGACATCCCACAGGCAATTCATCTCCTTGTCAATGCACATAACAACCTGAGCTGCCTCCACTCTCCGTGCCCTTGCCTCCACTCTCCGTGGCCCTTGCTGTGAAATTCTTTTCCTTGACAGCAGAGCAATTCTGAGACATTTTATGAGCCTGACCAATGGCTAAAAGGTGTCCATGATTTTCACTTTAAAGGATCCTCCATCATCATCATCAAGCCGCTCTGATCTTTTTATTTTTACAGGGATTGAGACATTTACAGGGGAAATGCGAAGGTAAAGTACCACATTGGAATAACTTTTCCAGTCTGTGCTGAACACCTCCAATGCACGCAGTCCAAGGAGGGTACTCACATGGGATGAGATTTTCACTTCAGAGCTCACCCTGGCTGGCCAGCACCCACCCCAGAGTTGAGCATCTGGTATTACAATTTCATCCCCTTTCGCTTTAGAATGGAGATGGGTTCCGGCGCGAAGTTTGGACTTTAGATCCAAATTCCCATCGTTCAAAGGCGTTCAGCTGCAGGCCTGTTACAAAAAAGAAAGGCATCCGATCCTCAGCGTGTGTGAAGTGGCATTGCGTCACAGATGTCAAAGTGACATGGCAAGAGTTTTGTAAATAATTCACTGTGAATTTTCCTAAACTTGACGTTATTTGAGAACATTTTTTGCCGGTCTTTTGTTTACCCCAAATCTGGAATTTAAGCTGTGCTGCGAATAGGAACAGAAAAGTCACCTGGGGTTGTTTCTGGTTGCTGAATGCCTTATAATCCAGTTTCTAGTGTGAATTGTCACAGAAAGTGAATGTAAAACTGTCCTTCCAGAAGACTGTGACCACAGTCACTGGAGAGCCTCTTCCGTTAAGCATTTCTGTCAGCGAGACCTGGCTGTACAAATAGCTGTGGGATATGGACCCAAAGGGGCAGTTGACACGGATGAAATTAATGTATTGAGAAATGTGAGCAGAGATTCACAGAAACCGGCCAATGGGAGCTGCGGGGGTGGCGCTTGTGGGTGTGGGCAGCATGCAGAGCCACCTCCTGCCCCCGCACCCCGCCAGGGGCTGTAGAGTCATGCCAGCAGCCGGCCGCTTCCAGGACTGGCATGGGGCCACGGCATGCAGGCAGGCAGCCTGCCTGAGCCCTACTGCGCCGCCAGCCAGGAGCCACCTGTGGTAAGCGCCTTCTGGGCGGAGCCTGAACCTTGCACCCACTCCTGCACCCCAACCCCCCTGCCCCAGGTCAGAATCCCCTCCTGCACCAAACTCCCTCCCAGAGCCCTCACCCTCTCCTGCACCCCAACACTCTGCCCCAGCCTGGAGCCCCCTCCTGCACCCAAACTCCCTCCCAGAAAGAAACTAACACACCAGCTGTTCTAAAAGGTAAGAAGTAGGCTATTTTGAATTAACTTAACTATATTCTACATGGTTTGAGACTGAAATGTAACCACAGAACAGCTCTATGTTAATTAAAAGGCAAGTTTAGTATCGCGTTAATAGCCTCGATGCCATAATTGTTTTAAATTAGGAAAAAGACTTGTATACAGGGGCCCCAAAAAATCTAATAGCCCAGGGCCCACAGGAGAGTTAAGTGTGGGGATCTACAGATCCCCATTTTGTCCCGGATATTTTTAGTAAAAGTCAGGGATAGGTCATGTCTTCCGTGAATTTTTCTTTTTTGCCCGTGACCTGTCCGTGACAAAAATCTTAGCCTTACCCGTAGCCCAGTGGCTGGGGGATGTGCCTACAATGTGGGTGACCTGAATTCAAATCCCTTCTCCACCTCAGGCAGAAGGAGGAACTAAACAAAACCTGCTGAGTCCTCTGCCACCAGGCCTTTTGCAACTGCCCCTCCCCCCCAATCCATTTGGGGTTGAATGGAAAAAATTTTGTTCAACCCCAAGCCGATTTTTTTGTTTCCTTGCAATGTTTCGTGCTTTTTGGATTTGGTTTCACCTGAAATGAAATCTTTTTGGAACTGCCAGCGAATGAAAAAATCAGATATTCACCCAGCTCTACCAAAGAGCCATCAGGTGGTGATTTTTGGTCCCTACCAACATGGGCTGAATTTAGACCTATAATCTAGAGGTAACAGGTCCTTTCACTCCATTTCTAGCCTGCTGATCCACCAGTCTCATGCGTCTGTACTCATTACATGCATTGTTTTGGGTGATCCGAGTATCAGAGGTGCTGAGCACGCAGAGCTGCGATTGACTTGGGATGTCGGGAATACTCAGCACCAGGGGTTTAATATGTTAGTTATTTCCTGGTTTCCCATTCCATGTTTCTAAATGCAATGGCATGCCATGACGCTTTTAGCCAGGCATGCAACTCTACACTTGGGAGTACATGCAAGGTCACGCTATGCAGAGAACGCCGTTTGTGGCTGGACAGAATTGTCCCATGGGCATAGCCTGTCATGGGGCATGCAATGACTGTGTTGCATACGTACATGGCATGCCACTGCCTGAAGGGCCCTAGCTCATCCTGCTTTCCTTTTTCTCCTCTGAATTTAAAGTGTATTTTTTTTCATATCCAGAAACTCCGGATTTATTTTTATTTCAGAAGATTTTCTTTGAAAGCAATGGCGCGTTTGAGTGATTACCCATTTGGAAATCA